CCTAAGATTGTTGTCGTAGAAAAAACAATTTCCTAATTATGGTTCGGACAGTTTGAATCGTTCACCACTAAATTTTCTTCCGCGCGCCAGATCATTCAAATATTTATTCATGCGCACAGCCTGTCACAAATGTCAATAACTCGCAACCGTACATTGGCTAAATAATAAGTTATAACTGTCAGAATTGAAAGGTTACTGTTTTTCCGATCTGCCTAACTTTGCGGCCGTAAAACCATTCAAATTTTTCACGGATGAGTACTATCCATCCGGGTATTTTCCGCGGACGGGCACTATCCATCCGGGCATTTTCCGCGGACGGGCACTATGGGCTGATGAACACTATCGCGTCACGTGATCAATTTAAACAAATAAGAATCGGAGAAAATTTATTGGTGAACTATAAAGCAAGATAGTTTGGTTTTTATCAACTGAACTGATTATGTGGATCGGCCGACGTAAAGAGTTTCTAAAGCTTAGCGGAGGGAACCTCTCTCAACAAAACGCAGAAAAAAAAACGTGTATAAAGTACTGCAAGGCAGTTGTTTCATATTTCAGGTGTCAGTATTAGATATAAAGCACTTGGGAGGTTTGGAACTCCCACGCATTTCTAGTGTTCTTTGATCTTCCCTCGTGTTTTACACATCGATAAACGCACGTTGACCCACGAACCAATTGCTGGTTGGCGCATTCAGCCGGAAATCTATTGACTGAGAGGTCACTGATTTTACTGAGCCGCTGCAAGGTCCAGCTTCTCCTTTGAATAAAGAACGTACTTTTGTGCAGTGCAAGTCTCCTTAACCCATCACAGGCAGCCCAAGCTCACTACTTGTAGTGAGCTTGGGCTGCCTGTGAACCCATTAGCTTGCAGAAGTAATTGACATGTGTGAATCTTCCTCGCAAGTTCGATGCATTATCCAATAGTCGGTTAAGCGAACATCGTGTTTTCTTGTTGTCAACAGAGTTGCTACGTGACTACCGAAAATAAATGATGGAACAGAGAATTAACTCTGAAGCGTAAATTAAAGGGCTAAATGAAACCCATGAAAAACCCACTGAGCGTTAGCCCTAGTAAAGGGTATCAGGGAACCACACCAGGCAAAGAAAAATTTTTGTGACCTCGGTGGAAACCGAACCCACGACCTCCGGATTAGATCTACCGTTGCTCTGCCGACTAAGCTACGAGGTCGGACAGAGAAAGTCGGGGTCGATTAAGATGGTAAATCGCGGCGAAGGGTACATGTCTAAATGTTGTGCCGCGTAGCGCTAAGAACACAAATGATCGCCGGAACAGAGAGTTAACTCTGAAACCGAAAATAACCGAGTATTACCTCGCTCTGTGATTGGTCCAGAAAATTCGCGCCACGTACTGACTTAGCGGAAATCTATTGACTGAGAGGTCACTGAATTTACTGCGTTAATGCGTTAATGACGTTATACTATTGAGAGTGCGTTATTGAACTTAACGTGAGGACAAGATGGCCAGATATTGGCCGAGTATTTTTTTTTTTAAAGGACCGAGATAAAGTCTAGGTCTAGAAGAAAAAAAATAAAACGAGGCTAACATCCAGCTCCTTGACCTCTCGCTTGGTCAATAAGGAATTATCATATAGCAAAATGATTTCACTTTCATGAGAATCAAGAATCCCTTGAATTGTTTATTTTCAACTGTTGAAAGAGCAAGAGTACGAAACTGGTTTATGTTTCCTTTGATTTAAGGTCTTCTACCGCTTTTTTTGTGACTCCCCTGCCAAAAACAACAATTGTCTTTATTTACTGATTACACGACAAGATTTACCTGCAAACAAACGTGCAAGGTTTACAAAATTTATTATTAAAGAGAAAACTGTTATAATCTAAACGAAACTAAAAAGACATCTGTTGATAAAAGTTCGCTTAGAACGTTCCGTACGAATACGGGGTAAAAATGTAGTTATGGCCGCGAGAACGGAGCGACATTTCCCTCTGCATGGGAAGTAGGTCATGTCGACAGTGATCACTGTCTTTCGTGATCTGTTCCCATAACAATTTATCTCTGGCACGAAGAATATTTTTAATGAGCGTAAAATTCAATAGATAACCATATTTTTGAGTGCGCTTACAGAACTTATCGACTAGGCTAAGGTTTTTACATTCTAAGGAGTGGGAACTTTGTAAGTCCGCTCCACGCTATTTTTTTTTCCTTGCGCAGGATCAAAGCAGGCATGCAATCCCGAGCGGGCAATATGAACCCGTCTCGCCCGCTCGGGTAGCTTCTCAGAACATGGAATTCTCTTCATCTTGCCCACAGGCGCTGCCAGCTATATCATTACAGATCTTGTTGGCTCCTTGTGACAGCTTCTTCTGTCATGATCGAATATTGTGAGTCATTTGGCTCTGGCTTCAGACTTGTAACATTCAATCAATAAGCGCATGTGCTTTATTGTGCATTGATATTAGTTGTTTTTATTTTTAGAATATCAAAAATATCTATTAGTGGAATAATTTGTCGATCCAAAAGCAAATTCTCCAAACTAACATCCTGAGAATTGTTTGGCAGAGAGTAAGGAGAATTACTAATGAGATCATAGGAGTGATAGCTGGTTTAAAACATCGCGGCTTACTTTTCTGATCCCTGAGCAAACTTCGCTTCGATCTGTTCTACTTACAACTCTTTTTTTAACAGTAAGATCAAATGCAGACACGATTTCTGCTCCCCGAAGGAGCATGTTCGCTTATAATCATGCGAGAGCACTCAAAACTATAAAAACTCAGTAATCCTTTGAATCTAAACACGAACTTGAAATTATTGAGCCGCCTCGAATCCATGAATGAACGGTTTTCGGGAAACTTGGCGGAGAGCACTAAATTACTGTCGGTGGAGGGGTGGGGTATAGTCGTCAACCCTGTCCGGGTGCCATAGGTGTAGTATTTTTGCCTTTACAGAATTACCCAACCGAGTTAGTTTGCTTGACAATCAAGCCTGATGGCAAAGTGGATCAAGAGCAAGAAATGCGAAGAACAGCCCACATTCTACGACTTACATATCAAGTAATACTTAACAATTATTCGCCGAAGTAGAAGTGAATAGTCGTTTTAGTATACGCGTACGCCACTAACTTGAAATGGGTTATTTCATGGTCGGAAATTCAACTCTTGACGCACGATTTTGTCTCTTCGGCTGCTCAGAGGTGAATTGTACGTAATCTAATCACTTTCGAACTATGAGGGGGTAACTTTATGAAGAAACTGCGGCAAGGGTTATTAAATAATAATTTGGTCTTATCAATTAAGTCGCTACTGTAAATTGGCCACCGCAAAGAGTTTCTTCGGCCGATCTTTCGAGCGTTAGCCCTTCGTCAGAGCGAAACGTCAGCTCTTGAAAGGCTATTTACGGTGGCCAAGATACTTCCCAACTAGCCAATCAGCACGCACGAGCAGCACTGTTCACCTGTGTGGCATATACCAAACGTTCTTGTCAAAATAAGCCAGTTTAGGTAATTTCGCTTTCACACTTGTTTACCCTTCACAAAGTTTCTAATTCCGTTTGTACGTACATACTGTCAGCGCCATTTAATTTTTTTTTCGCTTTCTTTCCCCGCTGTTTTCAGTTTCTGTTAGTCAAGTTCCTGCAGATATGTAATCATGGATCGTTTGCCAGTTTCGTTCGTGTTACCTTCGTTTCTTTAGGGTTTCGGACATTTTGGAACCTCCAGAAAAACATGAGGTCTAAACAGAAGCTCTTCAGATCGACCCAAATATCATAATGATTAAGACAGAGGGAAGGAAAACCACTCTTCTAGTTATAATCAAAGCTAATTTCGGACCAACACTCACGGTCCTAAAACAACTGACTGAGTTTGTATGACGTATGCAAATGATTAGACATTCTAGTCTTCTCGGATGATTACGATAAACTCCGGCTTCTTCTCCCTATTGGTTTACTTTCACGGTAAGGAATAAGGAAACTCGCTCCCGATGTTGGCACCTGCAAAGTTTTCCCGCAAAAAATTTTAAACTGCTCAATGCAGTGTAACCAAAGCCGAAGCAAAGTGTTATGCACTAGCGCATATTCATATGAAGAATGCGGTGTGTAAAAAAACGTTATTATCATTAGTTATTTAAATTCACACCACGTGAGATCCACGTTGATGTTTATAGTAATAAGGCATGTTCTAGCGTTCGCTACACGCCTTTGTACGCAATAAGACCCGGCCAATCGCGCAACATTTCAACGAAACATCCTGCAACAGTGTTGGAACGTGTCGTGAGATGTTGTTAAGGAGCTGGTCGAACGCGCGCAACATATCGCAACTCCAAAAAGTATTGCAACTAAAATTTGACTATTTTTAAACTTGATCCAACACCGTCCGACATCTTTCAACATGTCGCTACAAGGTGGCCAAACGTGTGTAACACGCTGTGCACGACAATGTTGCAAGATGTTGCATTGAAATGTTAGCCGTACCTCTAAGATCGTGCCAAGCTGTAATTGACGTCAGCTTGAGTTGATATAAATACAGTAAACTCGTTTGATGTCAAACGAACGCACAGCTTGCTTTCCTGCCAACAAATGGCGATTTGATAGCACCGATCTCCATTGTTTTGTTGCTCTGCCAAGTTAATATTTTTGCTGATTTGCAAAGTTAAGGTAAATGTTATTGCAAAGAGTCAATTATTATCCATTGGTGTCCGCTTATGAGAGAGCGTAAACAAAAGAAAACTCCAATTTTCAATTTCAAATGTGTTCGTGTTCGTCTACGAGAGTGTCCGTTTACGGGAATGTGTAAATAGAGAGTGGCTGGGAGAAAAAAGGGGAATTAAAGTGTCCGCAAGTAACGTTAGCGCTAGCGGAGAGTTGACCGCTGTAGAAAACTAAACTAGAAGAAACAAAATAACATTAAAGAGGATCTGTCCCGAAGCTAATGCTCCGCGTGTCAGTCAAATCACTCCCAGACGCGCGCAATACAGTCGAAAAACTCTCACCAATAATTACTCAGTTGTGATTTGTGAAGTCAAACAAATACAGTTTTCAAGTATCTTTTTATTTACATATTTGACATCTTTTTTTTACAAAGATCTGTGTCCATTTGCCCCTATCCATTGGTAAATTTGTAAATTTTCTTTGTCACAACCGTCAACTCCTACTTGATTTTCACAGGTTTCAAAATCCACGGTCACAAAATACCGAACAGAAAGTGTAGTAATTGCATTAAGAATGAATGAAAGAGAAAGTTTATCGAAGACAGGAAACTCGTTATCACTTTACAAGCCACAAAAACAAATCAGATAATTAGTCATTTAAAATCGTTTAACTATTTAACACGCAAATTAGGGTCACAAGGCTACACGTGTCTCTACAACTGCCACTAGATTTGAAGCGACAAGAGGTGTTCTCCGCAAATCTTCGAAGAATTTCTGAGTCTAATTATCCCATGAGAAAAACACGTGGATTCCGATAATCGATACGTCAATGTGCTTACACTCTCTACACTCACTCACGCAATACACTACACTGTTTAGCAATACACTCACGAACCCGCGAGAAACGAACGCCAGGAAAATATACTTCTAAGTCATACTTTCCATTTAACTCGGTAAAAATAAATCATAGTCTTACACGAGTATTGCGTATTTGCCGCACAAAAAATAGCTTGTTTAGCAACATGGCTACCCTGAAGATCAAACGCGCCGTACACAAAACTGTCATGATGCCTGCTGTCCGTCAGCGGTATTTGCCGGGTACGAATATCCCGGATGTTATACGTCAGGTGCCATTGCTGTGAGATGTCCCTAGCTGACTTGTTGTAAAAGGCGCCTAACGCGATTGAGATCCCTGACAAGTTTTCTGAACTCTGTTTTTCTCACAGGCTGGGAGGGTGTACCATAAGCCTCTTCAAGAACTACAAGTCATGAGGAGAGAAAAATGTTACTGAAATGCAAAATGTAACTAAGCCATTCCCTAAGATATGTCAAGCTTCTGTTTTCGAACTACGGTGAATGTAAAGCCTTTGATATGAAAATCATTTCTTACCTCTCGCGCAATAAGACACAGCAGCACAGCGATCAAATGTCAGTCATGCGCAAGGAGTACAACCTTGGCCGCCCGCGCGCCGATTTCCCGCGAAAAATGTTCCAAGGAAAACATAAGAAACCGCCATTACGCAAAATATGCGAAAAAAATTTAAATTTTCATCAAAATATGGATAGAAGACAAACCAATAAAAAAGACAACTCAAGACATTTCGAACTCATAACTAATTTGATTACGAGTTTCCTCTTAATTCACCATTTTGTTTGGAGCTTTATCTAAAAAGTTGTAAAAAAAAAAAAAAAAAAAATGAAAAACGCGAAGTAATGCCTTGTGCAGTTGATGTAACTCTCGAAAGACAATTGGCTCTGACAGCCTAAAAGCAAGCCACCTAACCACTACAACGAACAAAAATGCGCAGACGTTTGATCGCTTCACTGCACCTGTTCTCTTCTTGAGAGTAACAGAGTATATTTCAACTTGGATTTCGTACAAACATGGCACGTTTGTAAATATAAAGCACAGCTTTAAACCATGGAGAAAACAAAAAGATTGTCTTGTGGGTCAGAAGACACAGTTACGTACTCGAACCGAAATTAATTCATTTACAAGCCTCTGCAATGCGTTCTCCCGCCCCATGGTAAGCAAGTGGGCACGCAGTGTTGTGCACGCAATAGGGACTTTAGGGAGCTTTAGCAAC